GTTCGGGCCAATCTAGGGTTATCTAGGATACTCTCTTATATGACCCGAACAATAGTATGTTTTATCCGTACAATAGGAGTGTATCGAAATGGGGCCTCCTGCCAGTTGGTCGCACCCATATATTTCTGATCCATTGATTATATCAGGTGATACTACTCAGCAATTATCTATCGATCGACTCAAGTCATTGGCAACTCATAGTTTTAATCTATTATTCAATATCAAGAATGAATCTTTTCTTGCTATTTAGATCTCCTCAAATATCGGTTAAAGCTGTAGATTTGGTTTCATGCGCCAATGAATAATTTCTTGGGGGATTAGTGCATTTCAAATGTCAATAATTGTAGAAGTTTTATATCGTCATTAGTTCTATGATCATCAATAAGAAAAATTTCAATCGATGAAAATATTCCGATTAAAGCAATTCAGTTAGAATCATTATTACGAATGGCTTATTATGTATACACACGACAAATATATGATAACAATGGTTGATATTGTACAACACGGATAATCTCGGAACTCGTGTCAATGGAGACGTAAGGATTTCTATTTTAAAAGAGAGAAATCTCATTTTAAACATTTACGTAAATTAATAATTAGATCCCAATTCCTCCAAGACCGATCTCGGAAATTGAAATCAATGCACCCGTTACTTTTTTTCTGAAAGTTTTGCTTTGATTCTATAAGTGGTTGAATTTTAAAATATTTTTTTATTTGTATTGAAATAAAAGAAATTTTCTATTTATTAGATACGATCATTCTATATGAATGATTTTATATTGACATTACTGAATGCTCAACGTTTTTGCACACGGCTCGTCAATCAATTACTTAATTTGAAAAAAACTTTCGTTAAATATTCTTCATTCAAATGGTTGTTGAAATTGAAAATAATTATATATTGTTGATAATGAAAATATATCTTCAGAACGTACTGTTAAATTTATCTATTTCTTATTCGATAATTTGCAACAGCTTGTTTCACTTCACATATACTTTGTTCAATTGACTCCATCTAATTCATCTTGCTTTTCATATTTTATCCGACGACAATTGCATCAACAACCACTTAGTTGATCTTATCGACTACTATGTTCTGCCAAAATTATTCAAATCTGATTTTAGTCGAATATTCATTATATTGAGACGAATTCCTATTGTAAATTTTTCCTATCTATATATTCAAATAAAATTGAAACATGTTCAATACTATTGACTTGTTGTTGAAATTTTTCAAAACTAGTCAAGATGTTGCTTTTTTTTTTTGCAATTGATATGTACAACTGAGAAAAGGAAAAAATACTCGAGAAATTCATAACAAAAGAATACAAGTTTTTATTAATTAAAATTTCAACTCAAACGAATCAACTAAGTCAGTAAAAAAATTACGGAGGACACTATTAATAAACTATAAAGAAGCATATGTTTTTCTGATACATGCAGCATATGAATGAATGTTGAATTTTTTTCTTATATCTGTTTATGTTTGAAAATCGCATGAATTTGTTAAGCCATTAGCTTCTGCCAAATAAAAAATAATAATCAATAAATCGTTATTTTCGTTTGATTTCATTTTTGTTAATTCTTCTTCAATTTACTCAAGAAAAATAATTATCCATTATTTTAAGTACATAACCATGCCAATGATTCATTAACATTAATTGAAAAACCAATTCCATGCTAACATAAGAATATTGGTTATATATTATTATTTCAACAAATTTAAATTCAATACTTAAGTGACACAAAGTTTATAAGGTATTCAATCGAATTCATTTATAATATATAATCAAGTATGTTGCGAAACTAGTCAAAGCAAATCAAAAATATATTAAAACAGATTAGTCTATTAAATAAGAAAACTGCCATCAGCATTACACAAAGTTCAATTATGCATTGAACTCTTACAACTGTAAATTATAATCAAGGCATCATTACAAGCACATTGATTAGCAACTTCATATATTTGTTGTTAAACCATATTTAATGAAAATTTCAGCATAACTTCTAACATTATTGCGATTGAAATCAAGAAAATCTTGTTTTTAATCTTTTCTTGATGATAAAAGATGTTTGTACTATTCCCGATCAAGTAAATTGAACAAAATAGCAAAAGAATTATGTTTTAAATTGATTTATGTTATTATTCATCTTCGCTGATTTGTCTCTGTTAGTGGCATAATAGCTTTAGTAGATAATTATTCAACATAAAGATTATAAGAATTTTTTTTTAAATATGTCCTTCAAAGATTAAAAAAAATGATTATCGAGATATTTATAATACTAAAAGAATAATAAATTGGTGAAAGAAAACAAATCAAACTTAATGGTTTACTTTTTGCAAGTATTCCTAGTGAATTATTTTCTTAATTATACTAGAATATTATGTATTCGCTATGATACATTCATATTTATGGTTATATATATATACACTCGATAAAAAAAATTTTTTATTATATTTTTTTTTATGGTTATCATTTTTAAACGATCTTTTTGTCATGTTACTTTCTGTTTTTCTTTACTTAAAAACTGTTGTGATTATAATAGGAAAAATTTATTGATGACGATTCGGTTTCATGACGGTTTTCATTTCATGTTTTCTTTGTAGAATGAATCGTTGAAGAAGAACTATTATAATGAGCAAATATTGATCATATCCAACAACAACATCAATGAATTTAAAGTAGACAGCTATATGTTCTTGCCAAACGAACTGATCAACGAATAGACTTTTCGATTGTATTTTTCTCTAGGCATCACTAAATCACATATTTGAAGGGAGAAAAAGAGAAGGTTAAGTGTTTGTTATTGTGATCTGCATAGGTAAGTATAATTTACGAGGAGCATCATATATACCATCATACGTGCATGTAAAAAAAAACTACATCAGAATTAAAGAATTCAGTTCTGTGTTTTAGCTGCAACCGCAACGTATTCAAGCCATAAACAAAAGCAAATAATGTAAGCTTTTTATAATATATGTCGATAAAAAAAAAAAGTATCGAATCTTCTTGTTAAAAAAGAAATTTTCTTTGTAAGAAGATATTTGAAGATAATAATACCTATCTTTGTATTTTCTTAGAAAAGTACGATGGATATTGAATATACAGTAACAGAAACTGTTCATCAAAATGCAGCTGGTCAAGTAATAAAAATCGATTATGAATTTGATGAAACAACTGTTATTGAATCCATAAATTCATCATCAACGAGTATAGCACGACAAAATAAAGAAAAACGAAATCGTCAATATGATGTAACAATAACACGTGAACAATATCAAACACTAGCACGACAACTATCAAATGCATTATCATTTGATGCATTTATTAATGTTCTACGTCCATTTATAATGGGTTATTATGGAGATAACGAACTTGAACGTGCTTTTCATACATTAGATCGTGATCGATCAGGTACAATACATGTAAATGAATTAAGCTCATTTTTACCCATATTAAATGAAACAGTAAATAGTGATGCTTTAAATGCTTATGTCCAAAAAGTTGATGCAAATTTTGATGGTAACATGAATTATGATGAATTTCGTTCACTTGTTTTACGTGGTATTGGTCGAGATATTGTTTGTAATCATGTATAAGAAAAAGAAAAAATACGAAACACGGACTGTTTACTTTATTTTTTCTTCAATTCTCATCTAATATGTTTCTTTTTTTTTTTTTTGCCTATTCTAATTAATTTCATCTTTTTCTTTTCTAATTATTAATAAATTAATTTGCTTATTCTTCTTTATTTTTTTTTTTTTTTGTACGCTATAATAAAAATTTGATTGGCTTAGCATAAAAACGAAACTATTTCCATATATACATCAAAGTGTATTTATGATAAACTGATAAAATATTTACGTATGATTGACATTGAAATACTAGTATGAATGAAAATGGATCATGTTAAAACTGAAAAATATGTATTTAAGGTTTAACAAACGTACTGGCGGTTGTAGATAAAAATATTATAGAATAAAATTAATCATATTTTTATTTTTTAACAAGATATTTCAGCGACAAGCCATTCTTGCCTATGTACGATTAATTGGTTTCAAAATTTCTGTTCAAAGTTTTTTTTTGTTTTTACATTATTATTCATTGAAAAATTTCTCGTGAGAGTAAACAGACTACTTTATGACTAAAACTATATCAATGAAATGAAAAGCAAAAAAAAGTCATTAACTAGTGTTTAGAAGATAGAAAATTATTATGACAACATCTAACAACATGTTTGTAAACTTGTTTTTCTTCTATCACCAATTGATAGTTTATCATCATTATTTTCCGGTTATATTATTTGTCAGCTTCCAAACTATCCATGTTGTAATATTAGTCTAATCATCTAATGCAACTTTTATTCTATATCGTCCATTGCTTATATATGAAGCGAGACCAGGAAAGGAAGTTAATCTAAACACGAGGAGAGAAGAGATAAACGATAAACTAATTAGTGATACACATAGTCACTGAAGAAGACAAGGGAATGATAGTAAAACGTCATGAATAAACAATCAATAAAACCAATGAGTGAAAAACAAACGAAGAATATCAAGAATAAGCCGAGAACACGTTACAATGCAGTTTTCGATTACTCTAACTCATAATCTTAAATGGTAAATCGACTTCTGATCACTGCATACAGTACTGTAATCAAAGAGAAGAAAAATTTTTCAATCAATGATAATCCAAAGAAAAAAAAAAGTTTCAACAGAAATTTTGAAGCAACAATGGTTACTACGTCAAATATTTACTAAAGTAAAAACTTGATTAACTTTATTCTTTAGTGTTTTTATCTATAGTTGCGACTACTTTCAGTATATATCCCTTAGTAAAAGAATTTATGTATATAGATATTTTTTACTGAATTTATTATGAATATGCAAAAATTTTGCATATAATAACATATTCATGATTATATCAAATTAAAGAGTTTTCGTTTGATACTTTACAAAAAAATATCAAATTCACAAAACAATTAAATTTCACATTGAAATGGTTTTGTTTTTTTAAGAAATTACCTGAAGAGGAAAATGTCTATGGAAATAAAATTTTCGAGATATTAACACAAACATAAAAAATCTTCATAGACAAAAAAGTTCATAATTCAATTTTCTTCTGAATATTTATCTATAATTCAGAAATAACTTGAAATTAATTTTTTTTCTTTTTTTAGTCTCATCGAAACAATTTTATTTCAATTATTCATTATCGTTCTGTTTATGAGATAAGACGGATAGTATTTGATGAATATTATTCAGAAAATGATAAAAAATAAAAATTTTTTGAATTTATTTTATTTTGTTTGTAAATGAGTATATCGTGTATTTGAAGAAAGCTTAAATCTTTTCGTAATTAAACAGTTGTATTTTATCCAACTAACTTCATTAACTGAAAATCAATTCGAAGTAGTACAACAGTTTTTTTGTTTCTGCAGAGAAAACACCATTTCGTTGAGTGTGGCGACTGTCATTTGACTAGCCCTAGAAATTCGCCACTAGATTATTAACTCCGTATGAAAGTTCCTTCCCAACTTAAAATATTACTTTTGTGTTCAGACTATACCTGTGGCGTACGCAGAAATTTTTCAAAGGGGGGGTCCACCATGGCACAAAAAACTTTTTATCACGCGAAAATATTTTTTCCTGTACCCCCCTTCAGGACTTTTTCGTCTCAAGGGGGGGACCGGGCCCCCCCCCCCCCCCCCCCCCCCCTACGTACGCCACCGGACTATACATAAGGATGCACAGGTGTTTCCTGCAGAATTATGTACATGTTACTAAAATTTTTCTTTTTGATTTGCCATTTTTAATGCCTCATTGAGGTCTAGTTTATGTAAAGAGTTCGAATAAAATAGTGATTTTAAAATTCATTAGGTTTCCTCATTAGTTTACTTTGAGTCATTTTAGATCTAAAAGATAAATTTATTTCCATAAGGTAAAATCTGGAATAATATCATTGGTCAACGTGTATATACCAATAAAATAGTGTTTTCTTTAATTTTATGCATGAAAAAAAACAACTTCAAATCTAAGTCATTTTTGTAATTATTTAATTTTTTTAATGAAATATTAAAAGAAAAGAAAATTTTTCTTAACAAAAACAAAAAAAAAGAAAACAAACAATAAACAATTAGAATATACAAACGGACAATGTTGTCTCATTTATGTGTCCAAGTTGTCTCACTTAGTGTTCGTCTATCAAATAGTCCAAAGATCAATGTCATCAGTTTCTATTGAAGGTATGTATAATAAATAAAATGAATAAATTTTTCTCATTTCCATTTTCCATCAAGTCCAAATGTTTATATAAATGATTTACGACAAAAAAAAATAAAAAAAAAAAAAACAAACTTAAAATTTTCAAATGAGAAAATTTTGTTAACCCGTCTGTATCTTCATTCTAGATTCCTCCGTTATTATTGGGAAATATCTACTCCTGGCCTTCGCATCCGTCTTCTGATCTCCCTCTCCTAATTCCTTGGGGTCCGAGATTTTCACCTTAATGTCAATCTGATTGACTTTGGTTTAAAGAGGAGACACATGTGTTCCTCTCTAATCATCACTATCATCGAATATTCTCTCTCCTTTCGAGAAAAATAAGGCAAACTATATCTGTTTTTATTATATATATATATCTATATATATTTATTATTGTTTTTTCATTTTTATTTTGCTAAACTTTTTGTTTTATTTTGTATTGAAAAAGAAAATAATATAAAATGAAATATTTTTTAATTATATAAATAATTTTCTTAGTCAATCTTGCAGATCCCTTGGGGCATTTGCATTCATCAATATTATACATTTGCTTACAATGGACACGAATCTCAATACAAATAATAAACGTGCAGCTAATGATGGAAATGATAATCAAGATAATACGAACAACGTTAAACGAACACGATCGACTAAAGTTGATTTAAGATTTTTATTGGCTTCACGTAGGAAACATTTTTATAAACAAAAAAAAAAAAAAAAAAAACAAAGTTTTGCTATACATATTTAAATATAGGTGATGCTGGAGCAATAATTGGTCGACAAGGAAAAAATATTCAAATGTTAAGATCGAAATACAAAACAATCATTCAAGTTCCGGTAAAATATTTATAAATTAATTTAATCCATTCGGAACGAGAGATACATATAGACATTTTTCGTTCCGGAACAGTTCAAATCTATTGATGCGTACTGCTTATCATTGATCTAATTAGTATTTCTCTATTTTCTGTGTTTCATTATTTTGTTTCGCATGAAAAAAAAAAAAGAAGTCCGTTCTGAAACGATTACAAAATAAAATCAAAATACTATGTTTAAATATTTAATTGAATTAAAAGAAAACGAAATTTTGGATTAATAACTCGTTCAGAAGAAAGGACTGACTCATTTCAATATTGAGACTATAATAAATTTAAATTTCTCCACGTCATTATCCATACACATTCAATTAAAGGAAAACAATTCCTACTTTATCGTTGTGTAGGGTTAGAAAATTCATTAGATTACGAGAAGTATGTAGAATGTGCAGTTGAAGACAAGATTCTTATCAATTTTTTTTCACTTATATAATTGTGAGCTAGGTCATGTTCTATTTTAAATATATTTTAGAAGTCTAAAAGAAATTAAAATAACTATTCAATGAAACATTTACGAATAGTTAACAGTAATAAGATGAATTTCCTGGAAATAGGAATTTATGATCACCTGGAAAAAAAACACTCATATCTGCAATTCTGTTGGTTTCTAGGCACCTCTGATATTACCATAAAATTACTTAGGGTATAGAAAAAGTAGGGGCAGTGACCAGTGGCGTACGCAGAAATTTTTCAAGGGGGGGCCAACTTCGTAAGGGGGGGGGGCCCGCCATGGCACAAAAAATTTTTTATCACGCGAAAATATTTTTTCCTGTACCCCCCTTCAGGACTTTTTCGTCCCAAGGGGGGGGGGGGGCGGGTGCCCTCGCCCCCCCCCCCCTGCGTACGCCACTGGCAGTGACACTTTAATACCGTATAGTAGACTTTAAAAAAGCTTTCTTTGTACGTAGTCTGATAGAGAAAAAAAGCTTTATCTTTCTATGCTATTTAATCATACTTCAACTAATATGATAATAATAAAATTTCGATAAGATGTGTTTCATTTATCATATGTGTCGGTTGTATTAATACTCATTTTTAAAAATACGAGTGAGTATTTTTTAAATAACTTTTGATAAAAACAAGATAGAGAACTGCGATTTTCATCGTTGGAAAGAGGAGATGAAGACGCATCGAATCGTATATTCCAGATTTTCTTAATTTGTTTTTTTTGTACGGTTTTCAATTGATCTTTTTAAGAACAAACTTAGCTGGTAAGTTATTTAGAATGAATTTTCAATTATCAAATATAAATTTCAACCACTAATCGAAGATGAACGAAGTGTGGAAGGCTGAGATGAATAATAAGCATTTTAGTCGAGCCTCAAATATTATTTTGTAGTAAAGTCTGTGGAAAAAGCTCACTTTTGTACTTTTTCCTTTTTTTTCATAATAAACATTTTTCCGACTGTTAGAAAATTGAATAAAAATACTTCAGAAATCAATATTAGAAAAACCTACTAT